ACCTATTCCGCCGATGTTGACGTTCAACCGATGGCCTAGCATCGGGGGGTTGTAGCGATGGATTGGAAATACGGCTCGCTGCGACATTGCTAGCTACGATGCCTGCAATGCCAAGCTGGCTATATTCGCCCGCCCGCCAGTGTGATGATTTGGTACCTGGTCGTCCCCGCTTGACTTTCTCCTGCTGTTCCGACGTGTTGTAGTGTATAATAGGATATCTGTTCCAGACGCCGCGTCTCCAAGTCCTGCTGGGCCCGTGTAGACACTGTCGCCAACTTGTAACACACGACATTAAGAAACATGACGAAACTCACGTCTTTGCCGCTGGTTATTGCCACAGTGGCATGTGGCGCCATCAGCGCTCTTGCTATGAGCATCCCGGTGTCCGTTGAACATTCCAAGATCCTTCACCAAGCCCGAGATGTGCAGGACGAGTATGACTACATCATTGTCGGCGGAGGCACCTCCGGACTTACTGTCGCCGATCGGTTGACCGAGAGCGGGGAATGTACGTTCTGGCAACCTCGGGAGGGAAAAGTAGACATCATGGCTGACGTCGATTTTGTCTAGATACCGTGTTGGTCATCGAGCTCGGTGTCATCGGTGCGTTGTGCCGAAGTTCTCACTCCCGCATCACCTAACCGTATGGTCTTTCCTAGCAAATGGCAGCTCGGTCAATAATGTGTCCGGCGGCGCCCAAGCGTTCTTCAACGCTTCCCTTACTTTCAACTTTCCCTCTGAGCCACAAGTCAATCTTGGCGGCCGCACCGTCGGCGTTGTCGGCGGTGTTCTCCTCGGCGGCTCGTCCGGTGTCAACGGTTTCCAGGTCCACCGACCGCAGAAGGCAGACATCAACCGATGGGGATCTTACTTTGGCACATGTTCGGACTGGAACTGGGAGAACCTCCTACCGTATTTCAAAAAGGTGAGCCAGGGTCGGAGTTGGGGCCGGCAAGTGTGGTCGCTAATAAGAGCAGGCCTGGCAGCTTCACCCGCCGTCCGAAGAGACGGTCGAGGAGTTTGACATCAAATATGACGAAAGCTACTGGGGAACTGATGGCGGGATCCATGCCATGTTTCCGTCCTTCAATTGGCCTTTCTTGAGTGAGTATCATTCTGAACTGCAAACCCGCATGTGCTGATGCTTCTCGCAGAAAATCAGATGGATGCCTACGAAGAGATCGAGGGGGTCGCGTTCCCTGTTGACTCTGGCGCCGGCGAGCCGGGTGCGTTCTGGTACCCTCACTCGGCAAACCCTGAGCAGGTGACGAGATCGTTCGCATTGAGCGAGCACTGGACGGGTAAGGCGACGGTACGAGACAATTATGAGACTGTGCTCGGGCAGAGAGTTTTGCGCGTGCTTTTTGAAGACAAAATGGCCATAGGTGTCGAGTACGTCGCTGCTGGTGCTATCAATGCCTCGGGAGCACGTGTTGTGAGTGCTCGAAAGGAGGTTATCGTCGCTGCTGGCACGATTCATACCCCTCAGATCCTGGAGGCGAGTGGCATAGGAGGCCGTACCCTCTTGGAAGAAGCGGGGATCGAGGTCGTCGTTGACTTGCCGGGTAAGTCATCCCGTGAAGAGTTGAAGGAGTCGAACGTTGCGACTGACGATACTTCAAGGGGTTGGTGCCAACTTCCAGGACCACCCCCTGGGTGGCGGCGCATCATTCACTTGTGAGTTAACACTGGTCTAGTATGACGCCCGAGACATCTGCCTGACAGTCACGAGTTACAAACTGGGATTTTCATCCTGATTCTAGTGACCTCCAGACAAACGAGACCTTCCGTGCTGAAGCAGAAGCCGAATTCGCAGAGAGCCGTACTGGTGAGATCATCCAAACTTCTACTCCGGCTACAATAGACCAGTACTGATTAACATCACTAGGCCCCCTGACCATCGCATCAGGCAACGCAGCCTCTTTCCTCCCCTTTTCCGTGATCGCCCCCTCCACTTTTGAAGCCATTGCCTCAGCCTACGAAGCCCAGGACCCTGCGGCATATCTACCTGCCAACTCCGACCCGACTCTCGTCGCTGGCTACGCCGCGCAAAAGACCCGTTTCGCCGCGGCCCTCCGCGCGAAAGACGCAGCCTTCTACAACCTCTTCCTCCGCGGCACCAACACAGAGGGCTCCTCCATCGTCTTCCTTCACCCCCTCTCGCGCGGCACCGTCCACATCAACCCGGCAGACCCCTTCTTCGCGCAGCCGCGGGTCGACTACCGCGCCCTCTCGAACCCCACCGACCTCGACATCCAGGTAGAGTTTGTCAAGTTTTCGCGACGCTACTTCCTCGAGACGAGCCTCGCCGAGTTCGGACCGGTCGAGGTATCGCCTGGCGCCAACGTCACGTCCGACGAGGCGTTGCGGGAGGCGCTGCGAGAGCTCATCAGCCCGACGTGCTTCCACCCCGTCGGGACGGCGGCCATGTTGCCGCGGGAGCTGGGCGGCGTCGTCAACGAGAAGCTCCTGGTGTACGGCGTCGAGAAGCTGAGCGTGATCGATGCGAGCGTGCAGCCTGATCTGCCGGGGGCGTATACGCAGCAGCCTGTGTATGCGATTGCGGAGAAGGTGAGGAATACTCCTTTTCTGTCTGGTTTCGTAGTCTCCGTGAGAAATGACTGTTTACTGACGAGACTGCAGGCCGCGGACCTGATCAAGGCCCGGGCTTAAGAAGAGAGAATTGTTCGATCGCGCCAGACGTTGACCTTGACGTTGGGTTGGTTTTGAGGGTGAGGGCAGGATCAATGCCGAACACACGGTCAACAAACTGATCGAGGAGAACAATGACATCAGAAGCCGGGTGCAAGGTATCATATGTAATCAATATCTACCCAACAGCTCTGAAAGATTAGCCGTCCTCTGCTCTATCTTCTTCCTTTTTGCACCCGATAACATCCCCGTTACTACCATGTGTGAGAACCCCCCCCAACGCCTGGTGCTGACAGCCCCGGAACCCCAAAGTAGAAAAAAGAAAAGGCAAATAAGTCACGAGCACCTTCCTTACTCGTCAAACTTGACGCCGCCGCGGCCGCCAATGTCAATCATGCCGCCGCGGTAGCTGCCCTTCTTCTTCTTGTTCTTCTCCTTGGTGAAGCCCTTGCCCTTGGTCACAATGAGGTCGGCGTGCGCGCGGTCGCTGTAGTCGTTGGGGACGTAGTCGTTGGAGGCGAAGCGGGGATCGACGTAGGTCGACTCCTTGATGCGAGAGAAGGGGACGTTCTTGCCCTTTTGGTTGTTCATGTTGCCGCGGCCGCGGTTGTTGAGGGTGCTTGGGTCGGGGGGCAGGGGCGGGGCCTGGAAGTCGGGCGAGGTCTTGTTGTCGAGGGTGACAGACGAGTCAGAAGGGGCGTCCTCGACGGCGGCCTTCTTCGCCTTGGTCTTTTCCTTCTTGTGGCGGCCTTGTCGTCGGACGAGTCGGAGTCGGAAGAGGAGGAGGAGGATGACGAGTCAGAGTCGGAGTCGGGCAGGGGGCACCTTTGTCAGCGGCTGAACCGTCATCGGAGCTGGAATCGCTGCTGTCCGAGTCCGAATCCGAGTCTGAGTCCGAAGAGAGAGGAGAGGAGGAGTCGCTATCGCTGCTCTCGCTGCTGCTG